AAGCGCTTCCCCGCAGATCCGGTGCTAACGAGCCAGCTGAAGCAGTCGGCGAAAAAGCTGCTGGAAGTACACGGCGTCGCGGTCGATCTCCGGGCTTACCTCCGTAAGGCAAATCTTGCTGCGGCCTTCTCCTCCAACCTCGCCGGCGCATCACCTCCGCCTTCTCCTCCTTCTACTGTTCCCAAAGGTAAGCCCTCTACTCCCGATTCCTCTTGTCCAATGACTGTTGGAGATGCTCCCCGCGAAAGGTATTTCACTGTTGTTTTTGCGCCAGGGATGGATCCACCTGCCCGCGAAATGACTGACAGTATGCCAGTGGGGAGGACGGCGGCGCCGGCGGCAGGGACGGAGCAGGTGAAAGGCGAGGCGCACGGCGACACGCTTCCTATGACCGGAAAGAAGAGGAGACGGGAGGAGGTAACTGCAACAGACGGGCTTGGCTGCGCCGCCCCGGTGTCTGACCCGCATGCCCCACCGTCGCCGCCGAGCTTTGACCCGCGGTCACCGCACTCGCCCGTACCCGAGACACACGACGGAGATAGCGCTGACTGGAAGGCCGCGCGGAAGGTCCTAGATGGCATCATCACGCCGTCGCGGGAGCTCCAATTCGCGACGTCGAAGCCCTCCGACGTCGTGGCGTCGAGCTACATAGCAATGCTCCAGGTACATTTCCAAACAATTCGTTCGTCCGTAGATGTATGTCCGGACACAGATATTCCAGTAGAATCACATTGTTTGTGTCTTGTGTGTGCCGTTCGGCGGCGTGTTCAGGCCGCGAACTACGCGACCTTCTCCATGACCTGCGCGCTGGAGCTGGACGAGAAGCTGGTGGCGCTGTGGGAGCAGCTGGAGAAGGAGAAGGCGACGAGGCAGGCAGTGGAGGCGGAGCTGGAGAGGGCAAAGCGAGAGCGCGCCAAGGCGACGGCGGTGCAGCAGTTCTTGGGGTCGGAGGAGTACACGCGGCGGGTGGCGGAGCAAGCGCTGCCGGCGTACTTGCGCGGCGCCGAGGAAATGAAGCGCGTCGTGCTCCGGCACTACCCGCACCTCGACGCCGGCAAGCTGGAGCTGCCGCTTGATTAGCTCGGTCTGATTAGCTGGAAGGAACTTGGAGTCGTTTTTGTTGATCTTTTGGCGTACGTGGGGAAACTGTACTGCTCTAGATAGCAACATCAACTGCAGAGATTTTGCTGGGCCATGAACTACACACATGCCTATCCTAATTTGTTGGTGATGGAAGGTTTGTTCACGGTCAAGATATATCACTTGTACGAGGAAATCGACTCAATGATGTTGCATGCAGTGAATGTGTTTCAGGGTTCAGATAAAAACTCGGCTTTTCACGGTTCACGTTGTTTGCGACATTTGTGAAATTCCAGGGCCAATGATGTTGTATGTGATATGCCAGCCATATGTGGTTTACTACGTTCGTGATCTTCTAGACTGTTCATGAATCTAAACAGTGCAAAGCATCAAAAGCATTTCATGTCCATCTATCTGTTATATACACAGTGACTGGTAAAAGACTTTGGCAGCAGCCTGCACTGCAACCCGGCTGGCCGACTCGGTTGTCTGTATGCACGCCACTGTGCAACGCCAAATCCTGAGGCGCTAGCGGGACTGCCAGACCAAGCTGCGGCAGCAGGGGATTTGCTGTCGATCCGGCGTCCTCGTCGGCCTTATTTTCGGCCGAAATGCCCGGACGGGCCGGCACTCTTTATATCCGGATCAAATCTGAGGCGGATATGAAGACGTCTGGGTGCGCCCGGACATACTCGCCACATAGGCTCTGTCAAGTCTTCCTCCTTCATTTCTCCCGCCTCCGTTGAGCTGCCCACCCTGTTCCTTGCTCACCGTCCTCGTCGGCCTTCGCAGATATCATCGCTGACGTTCTTGTCCGTCACCATGGCCACGGATCATGCCTTGGCAGACAGTCGGGCTCCTCGGCTTGGCGGTGGATCCCTGCAAGGCGGAGAACCTTGCTCGAAAGGAGTGCCGCCGGAGGCAACACGAGCGTGAGGCGGCGGAGAAGGCCTGCAAGAGAGACGAAGAAGTCGAGGATCATGTTGCAAGATATCATCTTCTTGGATGAGGAAGGGAAGAAGTGATTCCTCCGCATGAAGAAGATGATCAATGACCGCGGCTACTGAAGTCATTGATTCATTTGTTTCTCACATATCTATGTATGAACTATTAGATTTTTATTTTAGCATGCACTGAATTTATTCAAGCTAAACTATGTTTGTATTGTTGAATGTATGATGAATTTGTGTTGTATGATCATCGTGCATGGATTTGCATAGATTTGGGTATCAAGATTTGAAAGTGTGGTTGTGGAGAGGGACAACTCGGACCTCTCCGCGGACTCATCCGTGGGCGTATAAGGTTCGAATTAGCTATTGTAGATGCTCTAAGGGCATTCCAACACCGTGCATGAATTTGAACACATCAAACGTTGTTGGACATGTCCAGGCATGTCCACGCATACATTAAATATCTGTCCAATTTGTTTTATCCAAAGTACTAAAAAATTAAAAATTAAATCATCCTTCTTCCACAGTCACAATGGAAAAACATTCTAACACAACAGTAATTTAAATATATAAATATTACATCCAAAAATAAAAATTTGGAATAAAAATTTCCAAATTTGAATTCAATTTATTCACACATATTTTGTAGTTTTCCAGTCAAAGCGCCTACAGATCTTCAACCCGGTCATTCCGAAGTTTCCATGAGTTGCTCGATGGCAAATCTGTTGATGCATCTACATCTATATCAATATAAAAAGACCTAGAGGGGCATATCCAACTAATCTTGGCCATTAACCAATCCAATGATATGAATTGCTCTGATGGTAAGCGTTCAACATGTTACCGTGCAATTAATACCATATCAAATATCAATATGTACGCTAATCACACTATTACCATACCACTGTCATCGTACCTAATATCAATGTGCAAGTAACATTCTACCAAATATTAACAATCAATTTGCAATTAGTATTCTACCATATATCAACATGCATTGCATGGTTGCATTTACTAGTTTGTATAAATTCCTCAAACATTGTTGTGCTATGCTATGGAAGTTTGATAGGATTACTTATGTGCTCAGATTCCAAATCGTGGCGAACTCCGTCACCCTTTTCCCAGATAATCATGTTAGGCATGATCACACTAGCTATCATCACCTCACACAACGTTTACAATTTTTTTTGCAGGTCCTCAAAACAACTTCAAAAGGGGCTTGGAGTACCCTAAATATTCTCTCTAGAACCTTTCTAGCTCCTCATTCTCTTTGGGCAAAGTTTAAATAGTGCACTACAACAAATACCAGCAGCCTCAAAATGTGCTAAGTTGGTGCTATTGTACACTTTGATATGTTGTTGATATGTGTATGATGATCTTGCAATGTTTAATTGTATTCATAGCTCATGTTATGTTTCAATATGTGTGCAACGGTGGAGATGAAGATAGTTTGTGACCTATTCTACATCATCTTCTATTGTAGATTTTTTCTGATGCCCTATTTTACATCATCAGCTACGAAAGAAAAATTTCTAGTTACCTAAAACCTTTTTAGATGCCCTAATTTTTTTGAGTGTTGCATCATCAGATGAAGAGTTCTTTTTTTACCTTGCAGGTCGCCGGGTTACTACAAACAACAATGATCCCTCATGATTTTTCGAGTGTTGATAACATTTCGGTACGAAACTACGTAGACCAACTGGGCTCATTGTTGTGATCTACCATTGTCAACGACATTGATATTTGACACCCATCTCAAGCTGGTGCCGCCAGTGTTGGCCATGACACATCTCTTCTTATTGAGGCATCCATTGATTCTGCCCCGCTCATCCAGGTTTATATTGAAGAGAAAAGAGAATGTAGCCTGCAGGTGGTTCTTAAATCCAATTATTTTCCTCATGTGTTTCTAAGACAATTTGTCACTATTTTACTACTATATCTATGGATTTTAATTGTTGTGATAGCCCCCCCCCCCTCCCCGAAAATACTTATCGAAAAAATGGACGTGCGTAGACGCATTTTAATTTCAGATAAATTTGTTTTTATCTAATTTCTGCAACAAGTAATTCCGGACGAAGGGAGTACAATATTCCCCAGCATGCAATTCGAATGATATGCATGTATCACTATTCTATTGGTTAAGTGAAGTCACGTGCATGAGAAGAATTACAAGCCGCAGTTTGTTTAGGATCTACACTGCAATCTGTAGTGCAGTACTATTATCTTCCAATCATTAGAACCAATATATGAAATACTTCATCATAATATTATTTATTCAAAGTGTTATCTTATGTGATACTCCCTCTTTTTTGGTTTATAAGGCTTATCTTAAAATTTTAGGTTTTCTATTTTATAAGGCTCAATTTGGTTGTTTCCCATCACATGTTCAGATTCGAAGGTGTATTAAATCATTGCATGCAAGTATTAAGAAAAAATTGACCAATGCATGTACTTTATGCATGCATACATTGCAATTAATGCATTGATAAACATAATCTTTTGAGAAAAAACAAGAGCATTAATTAGATGTTTTTGCAAATTACAAAAAGTATTTCACCACTCATCATCCACCTTGGTTGGTGAGATTTTTTTTTTTTGAGAATTTGGTTGGTGAGATTTTTGAATTGAGCTCTATAAACCAGAAAGAAGGGAGTATGTGGCTATTACTTAAAAAAAATCTACTAGTACAACAAATTCACGCAGCAATGCACGGAGCGTCATTTAATTAGGGTCCAAACTAAAACCTTGACTCTACCCATATTCCATCCTTCATGAGAAAAAAAGGTAAAATTCTCGGATATCTAAATTTACCATGAATGCAAGGGACAGATAGGTGTGCATTCCCAAAACGAGCCAAAGCAGAGTTCAGACTCGAGCCAAAGCAGAGTGGCAGAAAGAGAAAAAGCCTCGCCACAACGACTCACATCTGCTTCTCCTCCGGCGCCGTCGAGGCGGAAGCCACTCGACGCGATGCCTTCCTCCCCCGCCCCATCCCCCGTCGTCGTCCTCAGCGACGACGGCGCCGCATCCGGCGCGCCCTCGAGGTCCGCCGCCGAGCGCATCGCCTCCACCCTGACCACCCAGGCCGCGGTCGACGCCCTCTGCAAGAACCACGACATGCCGAGGGGGTTCGCCGCGCGCCCCGCCGGCGAGCTGCGCGCGTGCAGCGCGCCTCCGCGGGGGTCCGTCTGCGTGTACGCCCACATGCTGGAGACCGGGGTGCGCTTCCCGCTGCACCCCTTCTTCTGCGACGCGCTCAACCACTTCGGCCTCGCGCCGGGCCAGCTCTCCATAAACGGGTGGCGCGTCCTGGTGGGGTTCGTGGCGATCTGCCACGAGGCCGGCGTGCCGCCGTCCATGGCTCTGTTCCGGCACTTCTTCAAGCTGTACAACCGGAACGACTGGTACTACTTCCGCTGCAGGGCGTTCGCCGGAGTGCTCTTCACTGGCACGAGCTATTCGCAATCTGAGAGGGAGTGGAAAGGGGCTTTCTTCTTCCTGACGTCGCCGGAGTCATGGCGCTGCCCTGTGCGCTGGGGCGAGCCGCCGTACAAGAGCTCCGCCGCAGGTCCGGCGCTCACGAGCCACCAGAAGCAGTCGGCGGAAAAGCTGCTAGCCGTACACGGCACAGCGCGTGATCTCCGGGCTTACCTCCGGCAGACGGATCTTGCTGCGGCCTTGTCCGCGGACCTCGCCGGCGCACCGCCACCACCTCAGCCTTCTCCCCGTTCTACTGTTGCCAAAGGTAAGCGTTCTATTGGCACATACTCACGGCGAAAGGTGTTTGACTGTTGTTGTTTGTGTGCTAGGGGTGGATCCACCCGTCCGCGACATGACTGACAAAATGCCAGTGGAGAAGACGGCGGCGCCGGCGGCACGGACGGAGCAGGTGAAAAGCGAGGCGCACGGCGACACGCTTCCCATGTCCGGGAAGAAGAGGAGACGGGAGGAGGGGACTGCAACAAACGGGCATCATTGCGCCGCCCCAGTGTCCACCCCGCGTGCCCCGTCGGGCTTTGACCCGCGGTCACCGCGCTCCCCCGTACCCGACACACACGACGGCGACGGCGCCGGCTGGAAGGCCGCGCAGAAGGTTCTAGAGGGCCTCGTCACGCCGTCGCGGGAGCGCCACTTCGCGGCGTCCAAGCCCTCCGACCTCCTGGCGTCGAGCTACGTTGCAGTGCTCCAGGTACATTTCCAAACAAACAAATCGTTCGTCCGTCGGTGCATGTCCAGACCAGCATCACATTGTCTGTTTGTGCCGTTCGGCGGCAACAATGGCGCGTGCAGGCCGCGAACTACGCGACCTTCTCCCTGAACTACGCGCTGGAGCTGGACGAAAAGGTTGTGGCGCGCGAGCGCGACAACCTGGCGCTGTGGGAGCAAGTGGAGAAGGAGAAGGCGGCGAGGCAGGCGGCGGTGGCGGAGCTCGAAAAGGTGAAGGCAGAGCTGGAGATTGCCCAGGCCACGGCGGTGCAGCAGTTCCTGGGGTCCGGGGAGTACACGCGGCGGCTGGCCGAGCATGCGCTGCCGGCGTACCTGCGCGGCGCAGAGGAGATGAAGCGCGTCGCGCTCCGGCACTACCCGCACGTCGACGCCGGCAAGCTGGAGCTGCCGCTTGATTAGCTCGGTCTGAGTCTGATTAGTTGGAACTTGGAGTCGTTTTTGTTGATCTTTTGGAGTACATGGGGAAACTGCTCTAGCACATAGCAACATCGTGTGCAGAGATTTAGCCAGGCCATGATTTGTTGCTGGTTTGGTCTTTTCATGGTTTCATGATCTGGCACTTCGGTGGAGAAATCGACTCGACGATGTTGCATGCAGTGAATGGGTTTCATGGTTCAGATAAAAGCTCACCATTCACTATTCATTCGTGTGATTACTGGATCGGCCATGGGGATTTTTATCTTCGGAGAATGATCCAAAATGGGGAATAGTGCCCGAATTTGCCATGATACTGTGAAGATCCAGGTCCAATGTTGTTGCTTGCGGTCTTCTAGCAAAGATGTCGTTTATGTTTGTGTTCTACGAATGGTTCATGAGTGCTAACAGTGATAATCATCAGAAGCATTTCATATCCATTTGGTGCAAAATATGTTCATGAACAATGGTTCTTATATCTCGATTCAGCAATGGCAAAACAAGCGGCATGGTTTCTATGCTCTGATGTCTGGTCACGTATGAAAAATGATGAATATGCTCCAAAATGTTAACACAAATATGAACATATTTCATTAAGTCACATGACAGTCGGATGTAGTGCAATCAATAACCTTGCATTGGAGTGACCCTCGCCGATGGGAAGACTTGCCCCTATCTTGTCTTCCTTTCTCCAATCGGCGACATTTGGTCAGGTTCGGTTTTATTGGGGCGATGATTAGGTTCGGAGTAGGTAATCGAATATGGCATTGTTGTCCAGTCCTCTTTATCGCATTTTTTTTCAGGACAACGCTCAATTTCACTCCTTAGGCGCTGCGTCAACACCTTTTTTCTGGCTTCAATGGTGTTTTAGATATCCAGATGGGGATGGAGCTTCACACATGACGAATCATTGATGAGTTTGGGAGAAAGAACCCATCGTTTATCCAAAGTTTTTGTTTAATTTCTATTTGTGTGTCTTAAGATGATCTTGAAAAAGTTGGTTGGCTTTAATATACTATTTTCTTTGTTATGAAAAGTAAGTGGAAACCATGCAAAAGAAAAGGATACATTAAGAAAGAAAAATAACATGCACGGCTTTAGTTGGGCAGCCAAATGTGGTTGCGCACGGGGAGCTATAGTGAGGCACCATGCAAAAAGTAAAATGATAAGAGAAAATGTGAGATACACACTTTAAAAATGTGTGCAAAAATAAAATGAGAGAAAAGGTTACGTAAAAGTGAAGGGCGTCGTGCTCCGGCACTACCCGCGCCTCGACGCCACCAAGCTGGTCCTGCCGCTTGATTAGCCGGTGCTTTGAACTTGGAGCCGTTTTGGTGATATTTTGTGCATGGGAAAATTGCTCCGGCGAACTGCTGAGCCATGATCTAGACATATGCGTATCCTAATTTGTTGTTGGTTGAAGGTTTGTTCATGGTCAAGATTGATTTCATGCGGAAATTAAGGCTGATATCTAGAGACCACTTTCATGTGGAAATCGACTCACTGGTGCATGCAGTGAATACTTCTCAAGCTTTAGATAAAAGCTCACCTTTCATGTTTCATTTTGATGAATTGTCTACGGTTTTGCTATTTTTCGGCTGGCTGAAAAGCAACAGGCTTTCATTCAAATTGTGGTCCGTCTGATCAGGTGCCACGATTAGTGCTGACTTCCCATCTCGTTTTTTCTCGGGCCTGGGTTTGTGTTCGGGCTGCCTGCAAGCCGCCCAATAGTGGTTCTCTTTAGTTTTTTTACTAATTGCTTCCCCTCCTGCTCGCAAGCTGCCCGCCTGTTTGTCTGTTTGTTCATTTCTTGTCGCTCGAGAGACAGGGAGAACAGGGGTCAGAGAGGAGAGAAGCTACAAGGAAAGAGAGGGAGAATAGATAATAGAAGCTACGGGGAACACTACCTCATCTTCTTCCCATGGCGATATTGAGTGTTTGAACTCGAGGTTCCTACCCTCGGTATCAAATTTCAATCAAAGGGGAGCCCCTGGCTCCATTCCATAGAAACGAAACCAAAACCTTACAAAAGTGAGAACATCTGGGCTAAAACGCCAGGTTCAAGGTGCCACAAAGGACACAAAAGCGAAAAACTACATGCCACCAAACCGGTGGCAGTCATTTAAACATAACAAGGTTTGCCGCACTTTATGACTCTAAAAACCTAACCACATAACTAAAAGAAGACCACAATCATCAGGACATGGGAGCGAAGAACCCCCGGTATCAGATTCATTTGGGGTGTAGCGGTTTGTCACCTTGTTTGTTCAACCTTCCCCATTCTGCTCTTGATTGTTTGTTTTTGTTCATCTCTAGGTCTAGATTTTGGTTTGCTTAGATTGTTTTCCCCCTCCATCCTCCAATTTCTAGGAATTCCTAGTTGTCCCTTCCTATTCCTAGTTGTTTAGGTGATTTGTATGGGAGGTGGGATTTTCATTCAGGTGGTTGTCCTCCCCTTTGCTTGTTAGATATTCCAAGGGTTTGCAGTTGCTGATCCAGGCTTGTGGATGGATTTTTGCTTCGATTGTACAAGTTTTGGTGTGCTCTGTATTTCATATGGAGCTAGTGTTGCTAAATCTTGTGGGCAATGTTCATTTAGCTTGATTCCCCATCCCCTTCTGTTACAGGAAGGTCCGTACTTGTTGTTAGGGGGGTCCCAATTGATTGGACATACTCTTTTTTTTACGGGAAATACGGGGAGTTTTATTCAGCAAAGGCTCCGGCAGTATCTGCCAAGAGACTAGTTACAAGAAAGCTAGGTTTCGACTCTAACCAGCAGTCTGTCACATCTAGAGTGCTCGCTTGCCTAGCACACAGATGGGCGGAGGTGTTTGCTGATCTAGAAACATGCTGAACAACAAAAGAAGTAAAAGACAAGGCATGCTCCCCTATTTCATCTAAGATAGGCGCCACTACTGTCCGAGAAGATTGACACAAATTCCAGAAGTTGACAAGGTCTTGGCAGTCAGTTTCCATGATGATTTTGGAGAAACCTCGCAGCTTTGCAAATAGGACACCGTCTCGCAAAGCGAGAGCTTCAGCAATTAGCGGATCTGAGATCCCATTGTATGGTTTACACCAAGCTGCCAAGAACGCAGAGCGAGTTCTCGCGACTCCTCCACCGCCACCCCGACGAGCATCCATAGCTATGCTACCATCGATATTAATCTTCACCCAGTTCTCATCCGGGGGACGCCAGCCATGGCCAGGCAGAATCCGAGCATGCTCACGTGGAATATCAAGTAAAGCAAGTGCATCGCGGGTCATGATCATGGACTGAACAGGGCTGGTAGCTCCTTTGTCATGTGGGATGTTATTGCGGGAGGTCCAGATAGCCCACATGATGGAGACCAACTTTGCCCTTTCCGATTCAGAGAAGCGAGGATCACATAAAATGTCCTTCTTCCAAGTAAGAGGATGTAGGTCCGGTCGTTTGATTTGCAACCACTCTGGCGTCTCATCCCAGAATTTCCTTGCATGAGAACAGTGCATGAGAGCATGCATCAAGGTCTCATCAGTGTGCATGCATAACTTGCATGTGCTTTCAGTAGATATGTGGCAATGCTTTAGCAAGGATTCAACTGGTAGAATTCCTCGCAGCACTCGCCACCAAAACACTTGTACCTTGGGCATTACTTGGAGTTTCCACAACCGAGACCACAACTGTTTTTCTGTCTCTGAGGTTTCCGTATGCGTCCCTTCCTCTAGAGCTTTATGCTCGTTCTGATTCACAAGAGAGCGATACGCAGATTTTACAGTGTAGGTCCCATACTTCTCAAACGCCCAGGCCAATATATCTTCATGTCCACCCGTTCTGATCGGTATATTTAGGATTGCATCTGCATCAGGGGGAATGAATATTTGTCTGATAACATCGACTTTCCACATACCAATATCATCATCAATTAAGTCTGACACCAAACTTACTTGTGCATTACCGATTCTAGTAGGTATCATGGCCACAGTACTGGGAATCCACTTATCCTCCCATATGGAAATCGTCGTTCCAGTACCAACACACTTTATCAGACCGGTCTGCAGGGCTTTCCTTCCCTCGATAACTGCTCGCCAAGTAGCTGAGGAACTTTTAGGCGCTGTAGCTTGCATAAAATCGGTGAACGGAAAGTATCTCCCTTTCAGTACCCGAGCACACAGAGAATTAGGTTCTGTCATCAACTTCCAGCCATGCTTGCCTAACAAGGCTAGGTTGAACAGTTCTAGGTCCCGGAATCCCATTCCTCCACTGCTTTTCGGTTGTGACATTGCATCCCAGGCCAACCAATACATAGATCGGCGATCTAAGGATGAACTCCACCAGTATTTTGCCATAAGCGACACCAAGCTTTTACACACCTTCTTCGTCAATTTGAAACAGGACATGCTAAAGGTTAGTATAGCTTGTGCCACAGTTTTTAATCTAACTTCTCTTCCCGCACAAGAAATCATGCGTTCCGAGCCTCCTTGGAGCTTGCTACGGATTCTCTCTCGAATATGATTAAAAGTGCCACTCGTAATCCACCCCACTGCAGTGGGAAGACCCAGATATCGTTCGCTGAATGCCTCAACCGAGATATTCAGAATTTGCTTTAGCCTTTGACGGGTTGTAGCAGGAGTATTCGGGCTAAAATAAATTGATCTCTTTTCCTTGTTTATTGCGTGACCAGAACATTCCCCATAAATCCGCAAAATATCATTCAGCCGGTGGCCACTCTGTTCCAATGCTTGCATAAAAATTAAGCTGTCATCCGCGAAGAGTAAGTGGTTTATCCACGGCGACCGATAACTCACTCGAATCCCTCTATCCACTTGAGCCCCCCCATAATTATTCAGCAAGGACGTAAACCCCTCGGCACACAAGAGGAAGAGGTATGGCGATATAGGATCACCTTGCCTTAAACCACATGAAGGGGTGAAGAAAGGCAGCAGTTCGCCATTAACCCGAATAGAAAATCTCACTGATGTCACACACTTCAGGACCAATATCACGAACTCTGCACCGAAACCCAATCTCAACATGATTGACTCGAGATAGTGCCATTCCACCCGGTCGTACGCCTTCATCATGTCTAATTTCACTGCACACACTGCATTTGCCCCCTTCTTCCGTCTCCTCATAGCATGCACACTTTCATGTGCAATTAACACGTTGTCAGTGATTAGGCGGCCAGGGACAAAAGCACTCTGTTCATCACCAATAACCTCGTCCAAACACTGTCTTGTACGGTTAGCAATAGCCTTGGCAACTATTTTGTACAAAATCGGACACAAAGAAATAGGACGGTATTGTGATATTTTTTGTGGAAACCGTACCTTTGGGATCAGCGTAATGGAAGTATCATTCATACCCTCTGGTAGTTCTCCTACATTCAAGAAATCCAGCACAGCCGGAACAATGTCATCTTTCAAGAAATGCCAGTGACGTTGGAAAAAACCCGCCGTAAACCCATCCACTCCTGGGGCTTTCGACGGAGCCATTTGAAAGAGAGCATGTCTGACTTCCTCTTTGGTGTAAGGTTTTTCTAGCTCATCATTCATGGCATCTGTCACCCGGTGAGGGACATGCTGTAATAATTCGTCAGGTGGATGAAACCCTCTTGACGAATATAAAGCTTGATAAAAGGCTAGAACCTCCGCATGATCCTCTTTTGCAGAACTGCATTTTGAGCCATCCGCATGTTCCAGCCCCTCAACTTTGTTCATGCGTTTACGTTGTGAGGCCTGGGCCTGGAAGTAGCCCGTGTTTCTGTCCCCCTGTCGTAACCATGTGACTCGGGACCTCTGACGAATCCAAATCTCTTCTTGCTGGAGTGCAAGTTTCAGCTGTTTAGTGACCTTTTTTTCTTCATCGGACGGTCCCCTTCCAACTGACCGCTCCCGCAGCCGTGTAAGCTTCTCACGCAGTTTGCGGATTTTATGCACCAAGCAACCAAACTCTCGTGCTCCCCAGGATGATAAGTCTTCTTGTAGTTGCTGCAACGCTTGGTTAACCCCTTGCAAACCATGAACTCCAGCACATCTGTTCCATTTATCAAGAACTAGCTTGTCATAGTCGACATGCGTTTGCCAAACGTCTTCGTACCGAAACGGTCGAGGCCCTCTTGTTCGATTTTCCCCAAGTCGCTCCCGGAGATCCGCCATGAAGAAACAGTGGTCGGACTCCGTAGCCACGATGTGCCACACTTTGATGTTTTCAAACATGCTCATCAAAGCTGCATTGCCAAAAGCTCTGTCAATTCTGGCTTTGACATTTGACCCCCCTGATTGTCTATTATCCCATGTATATTCAACTCCTGTCCAACCCAAATC